CTGTTATTAAAAAATGGTGATTTGAGGCTATACATTTTAACCTATACACCTGCATACTTACAGAAATTCATAGTTGCGCTCTTCAGGTGAAGGCAAGTACATAGTAATAGCATCTAACAAGGGCTGGACCCCTTTGTTTTTCAGGGCACTTCCACAAAGCACAGGTACTGCTGTCTGAGCAAGTGTTACTCTGTGTATTGCAGTCTGTAGCTAGAAAGCAAAGGTATAAAAAGTATTTTATGTGACCATAAGATGGTCACATATATGCAGTATACTTGTCTCAACCAAAATATCTCGGAATTAGAGATGTTTTTCCTAACCAACCACATAGAACATACTTCCATCATTCTTTAGGCCTTATCCTTTGTTTTTCTTTATAACATTAATGACTACCTGGTATATTAGATACATATTTATTAGTGTATTGTCCATCTCCCCTTCTATTAAGTGTAAAATTTATAAGAATTATAGTAAGGTTCAATGAAAAAACTGCTAAATCCCAGAAACTAGAAAAGTGCTTAAAACAAAGTAGGTATTTAAAAATATTTATTGAATAGATGAGTTCATATATTTGTGATTTTACCCTGATAATCTAATAAGCTGGCAAGAAATTAAAAATATAAACATGAGTAACAATTTTTTTCAAATGAAATAGATCCATATTAAATAAAATCCAAAAAGAAAATGAGAAGTCAAAGTAGAAAGAAATTTTTGAAAGATCTCAAAAACCAAGAAAAGCTTGGGTGTACCTGCAAGCTACTGATTCGAGAAATAGTGGGTCAATTCTACTCTAGACTGTAAACTCCTTGAAAACAGAACTCATGTTATGTGACTGTAGGACATAATAACACACTTATGCACACAAATACTAACCAATAAAATACTGTCAAAATTATGGCATTTCATTCAAAAGGAAAAATTTTTTTCTACCTCAAGTAATTTCAAATGGCTCAAAATTAATCTATAGATCTTGTGTTTTTCTTTAATTCTTTTTGGGGAAAATAACTAAGTGAATTTGCTGGGCTCATCTTGGATCCCACTATACATATTACCACTTAAAAACACTTTTAGTAACTCTTATGTTTCATCAAGGAAAATAAAGAGTAAGTTTGCCAAATTAATAGGGGAAGAGTCCTGGCAGGAAAAACAAACAAACAGAAAAACAGGAATGCTTTAAAGAAATCTGTAATAATTATTATCTATACTTTACTTGCCCAGTCTCTGGTTTAATGTTTTTCCAAACAAAACAAAGACCTTTAATGAGTTTCCACTAAAAATTAAAGGAGATTCAGAAAAAATATTCCAATTAAAATGATTATTGTAGATTGAAAAACCAGGAAATTTTAAATTAAAAATGTCAACCTCTGATTTCCCTAAAAATACTTAGAGAAATGGTTACAATGAAGAGAAAAGGTTGAGAATGAACAATTAACTTCTCCTAATTCAATACAAGTAAAAAAGATTGCACTTCTAATTTTGTAAAATAGAACCAAAAATAGTTAATCACGCCATTATTAGGTAGCTGTATTAGTAGTGGCTTTATCTCAATGTTCTTCTAATGTTTGTTTAAGTGAGCATAGTTTCCAATGCTATGCAAAGCTAGAAAAACAAAACAACACAAACACAGAAAGCAAAGTACATCCAATTAATAAAACTTGGTCAAAGTAAATGAAAAATAAAATTTACCTTTTCAGCTGGGAGCAAATCAAAATTTTCACTAAATTCTCCTAAAACCAACTCAGCAAATTCATCATCCAAATCTGCAACCTATAAAGAAAGGCTTTAGTTCTATGACTTGTATTTGTTGTCCGACTATTAACTTAAGCCAAATACTCTAAATATACATTATCCAAATATTTCAAGACAGCTCCATGATCTAACTTATCCAGGCCAAGGATGTCTTCCTATCTTCTAAAAGACAGTTTTTCTTTCAAAGGAAAGGAGACTGAAAATTGAAGACATGCTATTATGAGTTTTCTAAATTCATGGGAAGCCTGAGCCAGATTAAGCATAACATTAAACTGCTATCTACTCAGTGTTCAAAAGAAAATGCACAATTAAGAGTCAATGATAACGTATACAATGGATTGCTGTGTTTAGCTAAATTTGGGGGTGTTAGTTCACAACAAAGTTTTATTTGGTACTCCTCTAATATTCTGAATGTTCATAAGATCTTCTGAGAAAGTCACACTAAAAGAACTAATCTTATTGTAACTAATCCTGAAGAAATATATTTAAGTTGGGATAGTAGACATAATTTCAATAATAAAAATGCATTTATCTAATTCATGTCCTTTTCATAATCATTTGCATTATAAAATAGAATTTAGCTGACAATAAAATTAATAAAAGTTTCAAAAGATTATAATAATATAAAGGAATAAAACTTGTAAATTTGAGGAGAAAGCAGCCTTTTAATAGCCAACTACTGTAAAAGTGTAGCAAACTACTAGAGCTATTGCATATAAATGGAATCATACAGTATTTGTCCTTCTGTGATTGGCTTATTTCAAATAGCAAGTTTAATGTCCTCAAGGTTCATTAATAATGTATCATGTCAGAATTTCCTTCCATTATAACACTGACTACTATCCTGTTGTGTGTATATATACCACATTTTATTTATCCATCCATCTGTTAATAAATACCTTCCACCTTTTGGCCATTATAAATAATGCTGCTATGAACAAGGTTGTACAAATATCTCTTTGAAACCTTGCTTTTAATTCTTTCGGATATAAACCCAGAAGTGGAATTGCCAGATCATATGTTAATTCTATTTTCAATTTTCTGAGGAACCACTATACTGTTTTGCACAACGGCTGCGCCATTTTCATTCCCACCAGCAATGCCTGGGGTTACAACTTCTCCACATCCTTACAACAGTTATTTTGTTTTTTGATAGAAGCCATCCTGACAGGTGTGATGTGGTGGTACTCTCTAATTCTACACACGTATGTATTCCTTACAATTAGCTTTTCATTACCTACTGATAGAAAATTTGAGCCTTTAATGTCCTATATGTAAGTTTATGTTGGTATCTCAATTAGATTATAAAATCCTCCTTGGGTTTATTCTGATAGTCCTTTTATATAAAACAAAATAAAACCTCAAAGGAGAACCAATTATGTACCCAATTATTGATTAATAAATGTCAATTCCCCTTTTATCCTTTTTATGTGCCCCCCCCCCACACCCCAAATTAGAGAAGCAGTATGAGCTCTAGCTCTAAACAGACAGATTTGGGTTCAGATCCCAGCTCTGCTATTTATTAGCTATATGACAACTTATTTTACCATTGTAAGCCTCTGTTTACTCATCTGTAAAATGGGGATAATATACGCTGTTCTGAGGTTTAAATAATATATGTAAAGCACTTAAGTTAGATCATAAGTCTTCAATAAGTATTATCCAATAATAAAATTAACAATGACCATTATCATGTTCATATTAACGTTGAAAATTACTATATAATGGAAAAGAATTACTTCAAAAATAACTTCATACAAAAGATGAATGAAAATAATTAATTATAATTTTGACGAGTTTAATTTAGAAGTAAGAAAATCAAGGTATTCAGACTCAAATGTTCTTGTTTACCATAAAATTCAGGGAGTTTATTTAAGATATGTTTTACTTATTGTATTTTAAAGTAACAATACCAAATAATTATTACAAATAATAACATTACTATTTTCTATTAAAATTTTGAGGGTGACATGACATCTAAAATTATATATCAACTATAAAATTGATGGTTTTAAAATTTTCTAAATAATTTGACATCTGGTCAAGTAAAAGACGGACATACCCTTTGACCTGGCAATTCCACTCCTAGGTTTCACTCAAAACAAATTCTTACATATGTGCACAAGGGCATACATACAAAAATGTTCACAGCAACACTGTTCGTAACAGCAAAAAAAAGGTAACAACCTCAAAGCTTATCCACAGGAAAACAGATAATAAATTATGGTATAATCATATATTGGCACACTATATAAGACTGAAAATGAGTAAAGTATAATCACATGTAACAACATGGAAGTATCTCCAACACAATGTTGAACAATGTAATAAAATACAGAAAGTATCATTCCATTTATATAAAGTTCAAAACCATGAAAAACTATGTTCTTCTGTTTTATATTTTTATTGACTTCAGAGAGGAAGTGAGAGGGATAGAGATAAAAGCATCAATGATGAAGGAAAATCATTGATTGGCTGCCTCCTGCACACCCCCTACTTGGGGATGGAGCCCACACCCAGGCATGTGCCCTGACTGGGAATCAAACTGTGACCTCCTGATCATAGTTCAACACTCAACCACTGAGCTACACCAGCTGGGTGAAAAACTATGTTCTTTAAGGATATATACATTTGTGGTAAACTATTTTAAAAAAGCAAATGAAAGATAAACTCTACAATCAATACAGTGGTTGGGAAAATAGATAATTAGTGGAAGGGGGAGAGATGAACAGGAAGTGGCACATGGAGATTCAAGAGTATAGCTAATATTCTAATTCTTAAGCCGGGTGGTGTTCACTTCATTATTCTTGTATCTTATATTTTGCAAATGTAATTTTATGTTAAATTTCACAATAAATTATTTTTTAGAGTTTATAAATATTTATGCTACTTTAAATTCAAAGTATTATTTTACTTGTTCAATTAAGGCATTCCTTGCTTCAGTAGCCTCCTTCAGCAATTTAGGATCACTCTTTTCCAAGAGGGGTTTTCTCTCAAAGTCTTTTCCATCATCTGAATTGGGATTCCAGAGAAGTTTTTCTTTATTTACTACATCCACCACTCCTTTGAAAGTTTTGGCTTCACCAATTGGTAACTATAATCAGAGTAAAATTAACATTATTAAATGATCACTCAATTAGAATGGCATTGGTGATAAATCTTATCTTTCCCCACTTTCCCCCAAATGTCCATTATTATTACCACAATCTTACCTATTTTTTAAATTTATATTCCAACTTCTTCCAAAAATGATTTGAAGTAGCTTCAGAAATATGTATGTCAAAATGAAATAAACTGATGAGGAAACTGAGGAGTTGTTACTATTGATTAACCAAATATTAACCAACCAACCTGTAAAAGCAAAGGTTTTGCCTTCAACTTCTCTCTGATGCTTTCAACTGCATAATTAAAACTGTAGAAAACAAGATAATTATACAGTAGTTAAAAATGTTAAAGTTTTAAAAACAAGTTTAAGAATGTTCTCTAAAAGTATAACACTTTCCATGGCTTCTAATGTTCATCACTTCAGTTTCCATAAGACATTTTGAAAAAAATTTTAATGTCAATTCCAGATAAATAGTAATTGAATATCTACCAGAATCCTGCCACATGGGTATTTAAGGTATTATTTTTGTTAACTTCACCTTAACTAAAATTTGAGGTTAAGGTTACCTGAATTGATCAAGTTGAAGATAATAAATTACAGTTAGGATTCAAATGCAAGATTTGTTATTACAAGTCAAGGATTCTTCTAATAACTGCATCTGCTATTACACATGGCTACCAGCTTTCTTCCAAAAGCCAGCCTTTCTATACTTTTATCTCAGGTATTCTTAATGTTAGCTGCTGTGCTGTTCATGTCTGTGCTAACAGTGGGGCTGGCTACCTATGGCACATGTCATCTCTGGCACATGCGCTGACTTACTCTGGTCCCAGTGTCTTTGACAACCAGCCTAGTATCCACTCACTTTCCTCCCTGTCATCACAGGCGCTGTCAGTCAGTAAAGGCATCTCCCTCAAGGCCCTCCAAACAGAAAAGCCTCACACATTTTGAAGGTTGTACTTTTACTAATCGAGACAAAAGTCCTTTAAACCAGCAGCCTTTAGAAATCCTTCATGAGTTACATAAACAGAGCATCCGGTGTGGTTTTAGGAAGAAATAGTTTGTCTTGCTCCTGCAACTCTCACACCACAGACCAGCATCTCGCCCTGTCAGATTTCCCTGCAATCCCTTATGTTCTTGATTGTCTCCCTTTTATAATTTCTCCAAATCCTTCATATATTCTTGATTCTCTGAATTCTGAATTCTGTTCTCAGAATAATGTATCATTTTGGATTACCACTCTGTAAGTCTCCGAGCATGATCACATTTCAGCATTCACTCTTTACACTATATGCAGGTCTTAAACATCTAATTCTCCTCTCCCAGTTCCCTTCAGTGAAGAGCATTTTACCCAGTAGGAGCCAAAGAAAATCAGGGGACAAGGAAGAACGCTGTTCTCTGAGGCAACTACAAGAAACAATTTGCCAACTTCTACCTTTAGCAAAGACAGGGAGCACCATAACCTTCAGCAGTACATACAGGGA